CTTTGTTGAATTTGAACTACATCCAAACATTGCAATTGGTTTATTCTAAGGTCGTTCCAATCTCCTGTGACTGCTGCATTCCTCTTTCAGTTGGGTGGCCACGTGAATGAGTTCTGGCCAGAGACTCAACTAAAAGTACTGAGGATTCTGGGAGAACTCTTCCATCTTGTTTGCCTCTTCCTGCCTTGAACAAGAATGCAATGTCCGGAGACGTGGCAGCCTTTGTGCAGTCATGAGGAAAAAACCAAGGGAATCACAGAGGATACCAACTTGTAGCCCTAATATCACTGTGCTGCTGAACCAAGTCAGCAACTGCCTAACTCCACACTCCTGTCATGAGGAACCTATTTGCTTAATACACTGTTGGTCAGGTTCTCTGTTACAGCCCAAAGTATTTCTAACTGATAGGATTTGCAAGAAGCTCCCCCTGAGAAGTGGGAAGGGAGATAATGTAACTCCATTATAATCTGTTCTCTCCGTAGAATTTTATCAGCATTTAGCAACCTCTGCAGCATTTTTGGCTACAAAGAGAGTGAGAAATACTGTTTAGCCTTCTATTCAAGGACCCATATAACTAACACAATGTGATACCAGGTTTACTAAAGCACAGAGGCCCCAGGGTTATGAGATCCTTATAATGAGCATCCCCTGGGAATCTCTGGAGGCAGGAGGCAACGTAATAACACTCTCCTTGCTGTCTCCTTCTCCATCTTGCTCTGCCTTGAGTCTCTGGGGTTTTTACCAGGAAATTGCTTGCAATCTATTCTGGTCAGGCATCATGCTACATGAAAGATCTTAAAGAAGCAGAGTAAGAAAAGATCTAAGCTACACAAAAGTAAGCAAAGATTTGGCTGGATTTATGTACAAAATGCAAAAAAATAATAATAATAAGACAAAAGAAAAATAAAACTTTTGTTCCAAACTCCCTGGTTTTAGTGACCAGGCAATGTTCCAATATCCCACTTTTCAGGTACTGTGAGACCTTGACCTCAGTGATTTCAAACCCACTGTGAAGATAAACCCCAACTGTGTATCTTCTACTACTTTTAGATGGGAGTAAAGGTCTGACTACCATTTGTATTTTTGCAACATTAGAAACAAAATAACTTACTTAGTAGCTATTTTATAGTCACTTGTAATGCTTCCTTTGGAGTCATTTGTCTATATAATGTTTATTTTATTGCCACTTAGAAATCCAGCCAATTATTTGCATCTTGCAGGCTCTTAACCCATACTTCCAGAAAACCAACAAGTGTTGATGGATAGAGTGACAGCATCAGTGTAGACTGGCATATGAGACAGGAATTGTGTCCAGCTACTCATAACAGAAACAGGTAATTTTCTCTGAAAATGATAGAGGTTTATTTTCCTCTCATGTAAAGAAGTCCATGCCCCAAGAAAGTATGATCTTTCTACCTAACTGTTGTTTTTAGCCTCAAGGTTGCCTCCAGTTACAAAAGAACCATAGCTGTTCCCACCACTGCATCCACACCCCAGGCAGCAGAGAAGAGTGAGGACAAGAAGAGTGTACTTGGTGGCTGAGTCATCCCTCCTTAATGGCTCCCACAGGACTCCGCCCAACTCCTTCCACTGAAATCCCATTGGCCAGTCCCATAAAGGAAGCTGGTGCTATGGTCTAAATGTTCATACCCTTCCAAAATTCATAAGTTGAAGTCCTAACTCCCAGTATTAGGAGGTGGGGACTTTGGGAGGGATTTACATCATGAGGGTAGCACCTCCATGAACGGAATTAGTGCCTCATAAGGGAGGCTCTGGAGAAATCCCGTGCCCCTTCTACCACCTGAACAGCAGAGTGAAGGTGATGGCTCTAGACCAGGTAGACGGCCCAACCAGGCTGGTGTCTTGGTCTTGGATTCCCAGCCCACAGAATTATGAGAAATACACTTTTATTCTTATAAGCTAACCAGTCTAGAGCAGCCCGAACAGATAAAGACAGCTGAGAAACCTAATTTTGGGCTGGGTACTTTGCCATCCTTCAGGTTGTGTTTATAAAGAAGAGGAAACTGGCAACTGGCACTTTCTGCCACAATTGGCACAAGAAATAGAGTCCTTCTAGAAAGTGTGTGAGCACATCCAGATCAGTTTATTCCACGACATCATGCAAAGCAACCAGATCACCCTGACGGAGGAGACTGATGTGAATCCTGGAATCAGAAGTTAGCACATTGATGATTTCGGGGCTCTCAACCTCTGTTCCCCCAAAGAAACTAAGATCCACTTTTCTCTGGGCAGTTATCAAGAAGACCCTGAGTTTAAGCCAACATAACCTAAAATGATCTAGACCTGGTGACATCAAACCACAGCCCATGGGCCAAATTTGCCCCTCCACCTAGTTTTGTAAATAAAGTTTTATTGGAAAACAGCCACGCACATTTGTTTATGTGTTACCTGTGGCTGCTTTCATGCTACGACAGCAAAGTTCAATAGTTGCCACAGAGACCTCTGGCCCACAAAGCCCGAAATATCAGTTTGACATTGATTAGATTGCTCTTTCAATCTTCTCGACCTATGCCACTCTCTTCCAAACCTTGTCTTGAAAATCACAGTAAAAATGGAGATGAACTCACTCACATCACCTGCTCCAAGTCTATAAAGGTACAGACTGACTTTGTCCTCCCTCCCCCGAAGGAAGTGAGAATTGCCTCCCATATAAGGATAATCTCCACCTACAACACAAATTCCAACCCCTCTTCAACCCTCAGCCATCAGTTATGCCCCTTTCCTCCCCTCCACCAGCTCCTCTTTTTAGTTCATGAATCTGCTGTGGTCCCTCCATCCTAGACTGCCTCTAGCTCTCTCCCTTCAAAGCCCAACTATCTGAAGGAGTCTTGCATTTCTCCACTTTCTCACGTCCCATTCATACTTCAGTCCACTGCAGTCTGGTCTCCACTGTCCCTCCATTGAGCATTCTCTCAGAAGCACTGCCAACCTGATTGACAACTTCAACTGTCACTTCTAGTTTCTATTTCACTTTGCCCAGCAGTTGACTCTATTGATCATTCTTCCTTCTTGAAACTTCTCTCTCAATGTCTATGAATCTACTTTCCTCTGTCTCCCTTCCTCTCAGGTCTGACCTACTTTGCCTCTCCCTTGTCCTCTGCCTGCTTTTTAAAATGCTACTGTTTCCCAGGATTTGACTATTTATCCTCATCATGCTCTCATGCCATCCCATGGCCATTTTAGCCACATCCACTGACAGAATGACGACTCCCAAATCTTTAACTCATGCACTGTCCTAGCTTCAGAGTCAGATTTCAAATTTCCCACAAAATGTGTGCACTTCAATGACCTACAGACAACTCAAGTTTAATGTTCCAGAACCAAGTTCATTATTTTTTCCTCTTACTCCTTGCCTGAGGAAATCATACCACCATTTCCCCAGGTCATTACCTTTGACTCCTCCTCACACTCTACATGGAATCAGCAGCCAAGTCCTGTAGAATTTCACCATCTTGACACCCCTTGCCTCTCTGTTCCTTCCCTCACCTCCATTGCCATGGATACCACCTTAGTCCAAGACCTGGTCACCTCCCATTTCCACTACTGCAGTTACCTCTTAGCTGATTCCTTGTCTCTAATCTTCCTCCCCTCCAACCATCCTCCAGATGACTGTCAAAGCAATCTTTAAAAATTGGAAATCTGAACTTCACACTCTAAAAAACGCTTTGGTGGCTCCCCACTGTGTGCAGATAAACAGAAAATATCTTAGCATTTGAGGTATATTCTGGCCCTGCCTGTCTCTCCAGCCTTGTTTCTAGTATTTCTCCACCCCTTTAAAATCTATTCTGCATTTATACCCACTCACATTCCCCAAACACCCTATGGTTTTCTGTCCCTGTGCCTTTATACATGCCATCCCACGTTAAGGAATACCTTCCCTCACTTGTTGGACTAGAGAAGTCCTGTTCTTCCTTGTATAGTCACTATGGTGAAGCCTCACATAACTACTCTCGCCAGAGTGAAACAGCTTGCATCTTTCTTTGTATAATCTGTGCAAAACCCAAACAGTGTCCATGTTGAATCCTGATGCAACTCTTCGCTTTCAGAACTGCCTCTCCTACTAGACTGTGAGGTTCTTAAGGGCAAAGGCTGTAAACTTTGTGTCTCCTGTCATATCATCAGCACTTAGCAGGATGCCACTAGATTGCTATTGGAATTGATCATTGCTATTGTTATTAGATCACTGTTATTTGAATATAAATAGAAATTAATGTCCACAATTTAAACCTCAATATTTAAGATGCACAGTTACAAAATAAAGACATTTCTGTAGTAATAAGATTTTGGTTAAAAAAAGAAAAATAAGAGCTCTAAAAACAGGAAACAATTTCATCTACTTAGTATGATTTAACTACACCCCAGACTAAAGGCAAGATAAACGGTATTGCTATTTAATAAGGTCCTTTTCAATTTTGTGATCAGTCAAATCAACTCCACAATTTTTAGCAAGCTCTGTCCAGCCCACTTTAATATGAATTCTGTTTTTGTTTTCATTTTTTTAATCTAAGTGGTCAGTTCAGCAGGGTATGGCAGAAATACCACATCTTCCAATGTCGGAAAAACCAAGGTCTGAATCAAAGCTCAGTCTCTTAATTGTATTATGACTTGGAGATATTTCATCTTCTTGAAGTTCAGTTTTTTCACTGGTCATACAAGCTAGTGGAAGCAATTCACCCAAACACTTCACACCTCGGTACCCTGTGCATAGTGACTGCTCAGTGATGTTTATTTCCTTCCCCTTTACAGACTAAAATTGATTTCTATACCTTTTTACCTGAGCATTTCTTCACAAAGATGGCAAATCCTCTCCCAGAACCACGCTATTTCCTCCTTAGACTGACAACCAAGAACTCTCATCAACTGCTGGTTTTCTCTTTAGAGAGTAACACCTTCCAGTCTTCTTTCTCTTTCTTTCTTTGTTTAGCTAAAACTAAACAAAGTGGTCAAGTCAATATAATAGATCAAAAACATTGATTTACCTTAAATGCTAACCTGCTGCCACCAGTTGCTGGGAACTGAAACTACGGACGCTCTCCCCAGGTGTGTGTCTGGGAGGGCTCAGCCCCTACGATCCCCCTTGGCCTCCTCCCAGTCACCTTCCTCCGCAGTGTTGCTGGCCGCCCTCTTGGCGCTGATTGCACAGCTTGGACTCACTGAAGCAGAGTCACAGCCTGATTGGCTCAGTTCACTGTCAATCCCTACCCTGGCCCTGCCTTTTCTCAAGTTTACACTTTTGTTGCCTAGGAAATGCGGTGGCTGTGAAAGCCCAAGCAGCTTCCCAGGGAAGGAAGCCAGCAGGAAGAGTAGCTGGCGATTGTTTGGTTTCAAGGACATCAAAACTTGCCTCTTGGTTGTATAAAATAATGTTCAGCAAAAAAATAAATAAATCAATTTAAAAATAATAATAATAATAATAATGTTCAGCAAATTGCCTTACTCCGTTCGGTAACCCCTTCCTGCCCTTCTGTTGTCTCCAGATGGCATTCTGCTAGGGTGTTCATTATCTCTCGGGTGAGACTTAAAACCTCAACACACAGGAGATGCTACGTGTAATTCTAAGTGATTCAAAGCCCTCTCTCCTTCTCCACAAGCTCACACTGACAGGATGCCATTCCGTACTGTTTCCACCCTTGGTGTCCTCTTTTCTTCTTTCTTCTCCTCCCGCTTCTCATTTCTCTTTTTACACTTGTTCCTTAGCAATGAATTTGCCAGATTAGAAGCAGTCTAGTGTCCTGTTTAGAAAACAGTGCCTAACTCACTCTCTCCTTCATTCTTGTACCCATGACATCCACCCAACCTCATCATTTCCACCCCTTCTCTCACTTCTGTCATAAAGTAGTCCAAAACAACTGGGGACTCTAATGATGAAGACTGGAGTTCCACATTCTCTTCTGCATTGTACGTTATATGGATTCTCAGATGAGTGTGGTCATTGATTTCTATAATCTCTACAGAGGACATTGTATTTGTTTTGTTCACTTCTCACCCTCGCACTGGAGATCAAAGAGGTATACTCTCTGTGGATTTTAATGAAGATTTGCCTTGGTTGAAGGAATTTCCATCGGAGTGTGACTTGAGGAACAAGAAGGGGCCACTTGCAAAATAAGTCCTTTGTCTCTCTTTGAGGATAAATGCTGTTTTCAGAAGGCCCCTCTCCATGGTACATGACACCCACCAAGCAGTAAAAAACTATTGACACTGACAAGGTACTTGATGTGCGACCCACTTCCACTTCAGGATAGCTCTGAGTGCCTTCCCCACACACCGTTAGCTTTTCATCCAAAAACATGCCTCCTTACTGCAGCTGACCTCAAGGTACTAAGCTGTATCATTCCATTTTCACTAAGTGAAATTACTAAACAACTAACCACTGAGACAAGATGCACTGCGAATATCAGATAGTCTACCTTTCAATCAATTAATCGGTAAGACTGCAGGAAGCCACGTGAGAGGGCCAGCATACTCTGGATCATCTTTGCATCTTCTACAGCCCCCAGCACGATGCCTTGTACAAACAGGGAATCAGTCAATGTTGGCTGAGTCAAATTGTTGAACTGGGTAAAATGTACTCATATTAAAGACATTCAAAATATGAAATCTAGAAATTGTTCCTTGGACTAAGTAGAAGTTTGCTTAAACAAGTGGGTGGCTCAGTCGTTAAGCATCTGCCTTCAGCTCAGGTCATGATCCCAGGGTGCTGGGATCGAGCCCTGCATCGGGCTCCCTGCTCAGCGGGAAGCCTGCTTCTCCCTCTCCCACTCCCCCTGCTTATGTTCCCTCTCTCACTGTGTCTCTGTCAAATAAATAAATAAAATCTTTAAAAAAAAAACAAACAAACAAGTATTCCATTTACCTCCTTTTTCAAGGATAATTGGTTGACATTTAAACAAATAACCATCTCACAGTAGCCTGCAATTAGGATGTGATAAACCAAACAACAGAAGATTGACATGGGGGGAAAGCACATCCATAAGAGCATTTACTGTAGGAACCAATACGTGATCGTAGTTGGTGCTAATGTAGAAACAGATAAGCAGAAGAATCATTACATAATGAAGGAAAACATAAATGACAAGTTGAACTTCATTTCAGAATCTTAAAATGTACCTCCAAATACATGTATTTTATATGTAGATACTTACTTACTGTGTGTCATATTTCCTGCCAATTAAAGATCAACAAATTAAATATTTTGCCTGTGTTTATCATTTCTCAAATGTGTTATTTTAGGTTATAATTCTGGAACCGCGCCAGGTCCCACGCACAAAATAAACTTGGATTAAGTCTGATATATGAACCTGATCCCTTAGTCTGTTTACCATCAGTCCTCTGATTCTTCAAGAAGTACCTCCAATTCTTATACACACTACCTCTTCTCTCTTCAAAACTATGCTAGCTCTACTACTTTAGAAATTATTAAAATGTATCTGCATTTCTAATTATATTCAAATATAACAATAATTCATGAATACTACATTTTAAGGGACTCAACAGAGTGACACTGAAAAACACATCTCACACATAGAGATTTTCAAATCAATTTTAAAGTGTAATTTGTATACAACAAGCTGCATCCATTATATGGATATCATACAAATGTTACTCCATTCACCTACTGATGAGCGTGTATTTTTTCTTAGTCTGGGGTTATTATAAATAAAGCTGCTATGAACATTTGTGTACAGATTTCCAAGTGGACATAGGCTTTTATTAACTTGAGTAAATATCTAGAAGTGGAATGGCTGGGTCATGTGGCAAGTGTGTGCTGAACTGGGAAACTACAGAGCGATTTTCCTGCGTGGCTGCACCATTTTCATGCCTGACTCAGCAAGGGAATGGGTGTGAGTCCCAGTAGCTCCGTCTTCCTGCTAACTATTCATATGATCAGTCTTTTACATTTTAGTCATTCTAGTAGGTGTGCTATGATACTCTGGTTTTATTTTTCATTTCTCTAATGACTAATGTGTCAAATAATTTTTCTTTTTTTTATTTAATTTAATTTTATTGTGTTATGTTAGTCACCATACAGTACATCAGTAGTTTTTGACGTAGTGTTCCATGATTCACTGTAATTTTTCATGTGACTATTGGCCCTTTGCACATCTTCTTTTGAGAAGTGTCTGCTCAAACCTTTTTGTTCATTTTTATATTGGTTGTAAGATTTGTTTAGATATTCTAAATACAAGTTCTTTGTCTGAGAAATGTGCTGCAATATTTTCTCCCAGTTGATAGCTGATATTTTTGTCTTCTTATGCATGTCTTTAGAAGAGTGAAACTTTTTCATTTTGATAAAATCCAATTTATCAAATGTCTTTCTTTTATGATTTGAGCTTGTGTGATCTGAACAATAAATCTGTACTACCATACGAGTATACTGACTTTCCTCTAGAATGTTCATAGTCAGTGTTCTCATTTAGGGTGATGATACACTTTGAGTTCATTTTTCTGTATGGTATGCACTAACAGTCAATGTCTTTTTGTGTATGTTATTAAAGAAAAAGATCAAAGGCCATTCAGATATCAGTTGTTCCTGTACAATTTGCTGAAGAGATTTTTCTTCTCCCAATGACTTGTCTGTGTACCTTCTTCATGAATCAACTGAAGACGTCCTTGTGAGTCTATTTCAGAGTTTTCAAGATACACTTGGGAGTGGTAGCCAGAAACAAACCACAGAGGGCTTGTATTCCATGCAGTGAGAGCCAACAAAGGATCAGAACCAGGGAATGATGAGATCAGATGTCCATACCATCAAGGCCATGTTGACTGTCTGCCCAGTGGAGGAGGTTTCAATGGAATGGGCTGGAGGCATCATCTCCGCTCACTGGCTGCCTTGGATCAGATTCCCTGGATGGAGGTGGAGCCCAGGGAAGCAGCAGGCACAGAGTTGGCCCCCCTAGTTATAACTGTTCAGGGAGGATGACATGGTGGGAATGGGAATAAGAGTCGTCAGCTGGAAGCCCCATCCCTTGATCCCTTTGTTGGTTATGAGGGGAAAAAATCTTGGCTATTTATTCTAATGACAACACAGAGAAAGCTTCAGGTCTGCCTTTCAAGGAACTATTACCAGAGACCAATTTCAAAGATTTCATAAGAATTGCAGAAATAAGACCTTGAATTATACACACACACACAGACACACACACACACACGTGTGTCCTCATGGGACATGCTTGTGTCTCTAGGTGACACTGAAGCAAGAGAACTCACAGAACTCAGTAGACACCTGGCACCAGCTCTGCATTCTACCCAGAAAATCTTATCCTGACATGGGCAAGGGTGGACCTCTTTCCACTTCTGCAGGGAGTATTCTGTAGTAGCATCCTCCATTTGAATTATTTCAACATGTGGTCACAACTTCGAATTGGGCAATCAAAAACTGTGGTGTCTGGGGCCATTCCATATATCTACTGTTTTCTTCACTATGTTTCATATACAAGATACTGTACATTTGAAACATTTAAGGATACATTGAATTCCACATGAAAACACAAAATCAAATATGATGGCACAATCATAGGAAGGTAAAATATATTAGACGAGGAACCTACCAGAGAGGAAGCCTGGTGTCTAGTAAAGGAGATAGAAAAGTCCAAAAAAAAGGGGGGGGCGGGGGCTACACCAGCCTTTTTCAGAGAATCAAATGCCAAACATATAAAAACCCTGGTGGTTAAGGCACATGTTTTTGGGTGTATTTTGTGAGGAACAGAATGTAATTCCTATACATAGAGGAATATTCTGTGCCATATTTGGGGAGCAGACGGATGCTTCCTAAATCAATAAAGTCCTGGGAATTGTTGTTATCACAAGACCTGAGTTTCCAGAGCTTCATAGGGAGGTCCGGGATCTTCAAGTGAGGTTCTCATAACTATATCTTAAGAGGGGCAATCTTGAGAAGGGAACTGTGAGAAGTGAAAACCACAGCATTAGCTGTGACCCAAAGGCAGGCTCCATGTCTGACCAGCAAAGGAGGTATTCTACACAGGAGGGGATTCAGCACAGAAACCAAGGTGGAGTCCTGGGAGGGTCATCCCTGCCTAGCTGCAGGGTGGAGACCAGAACTCCTGAGCTTGGAAGTGAGGTGAAAAAGAGATGCAGGAGGAAAACCCAACATGGAAGTACTGGCCAATATCTTATGTCATATCATGAAATGTGAGAAGGGGCAGAGAGACTGAGAGATGTCAGACACCGAGGATGAAGTAAGCATGGCCCTGTGTCTAGAGACAGAGTAGGGAGGATGGTGGGGCTGTCTGCTGAAGGTTTGAGTCTGAGTGAGGAGACCCCTGAACAGAGGCAGGTCAAGAAGCCGAGATCAAATTCATAGACACAGAAGTAGAACTGGGGTTGCCAGGGTGTGGGGCTGGTGGTGGGAGCAGGGATATGAGGAATTGCTGTTTGATCAGAGTGGAGTTTGAGTTTGGGAAGATGAAAACTGTTCTGGAATGGGTGGTGGTGATATTTCCATAGTAATGTCAGTGTGCTCAATGCCACTGACTGTATGATTACTGGCTAAATAGTAAGCTTTATAAAATATATATTTTACCACAATTTGAAAAAATAATCCCAAGATTACTTCATAACAATTTCCAAACAGAGGCAGAAACAGTGAGGAGATATTTCTGCACCACCGTCAAGTACCACCAGGGGTGTCCTGTGCTAGGGGAAAGCCTTCTACAACCAGTGGCTCCCCAAACACCTGTCAAGGCTGCACCTCCATCAGGCCTTCTTCAGCTTCCTGGCCCCACACAGCCACCTGGCCACCATGCCCACCAGCTTCCCACAGAGCCACAGGGTGCCCAGGGTGACCAGCAGCAGGAACAAGAAGACGTCCAGCAGGTACTGCTCATGCCATGGCTGCTGCAGGCCGTGGGGCTTGAGGTGTGCCGCACCCCCTGTCTGGAGGATGTGGTCGATCCAGCCCACCAGCCTCTGAGCAGGGGTCAGGGGGTGGGAGCGCCTGATGATGCTGGCGGCCACTGCTGCTGACTTGTACCTGTTGGCAGAGACAGAGGCAGGGTGTTACTCATGTGCTCTCAGAAGTCTTAGAGACCTCGTATCACACACACACACGCGCACACACACACACACACACACACACTTTCATCCATATGCACAAAAGACTCAGTTTCAAGAAAAGTGGTTAGCTTGGCCTTGTCACAGACTAGCTGGGTCCCATTGAAAAGTTCTAACTGGTCTTTCCATGCAAAGATCCATGCCTAGGGCTAAAAGTGTTAAATTATAAAAAGGTGACTAAGCTGTAAGGACAAGTCTTTACCCAAGGACACCTATGGTACAATAAAGGAAAAAGTGTATAGGAATATATGTGATGTAACATACATCCAATTCAAGGTAAATGTCCTTGAGACCCTAATAAGATATTCAGTCCATCATGATTATCTCATCATTGTGCTGGATGGCAATTTACATAAGAGAACATGGGCCCTTTTACTGACTCACTTAACAGAAATTCATCCCAACTTACTTTTGTGGCAGGCCCTGTACTAGTCCCTGAGAACACAGGGGAAAACAAGAGACACACTGGGCTGTCCAAGGGAGCTGACTCTCTACTTTCTGGGGGACAAACAATAAATTTAAAAAGAAAGACATGGGGTAGTTAATGATCCTGAGAAGTGTTAAGAAGGAAAAATGAATTATGATTGAAGAGGGTGGGAGAGGGGAACACATTTAAAACTGTCACACAAAGACCTCCTGCCTCTCTGAGGGGAGGATATTGGAGATGAGTCCAACTGTATGAAGGAGCTAAGTCTGTGAGGAGAAGGGAAGGATATCTTAGGAAGCAGCACTGATAAACCGTCTGAGGCAAGAAACACTGCGGCATATTGGGGGACAGGAAGGTGACCTCCTGCTCAGTGTCATTCTACTATCAGTAGTCCCAAAATATAAGACCTGTCATAGACCCTATGTAAGTAGGTCAGAGTCCTCACAACCCTTAGGGAGAAATCGTTCTCAACATCTAATCTGAAGTGCCTAGTCTTGCTCTCAGAGTAAACAAGTCAGCTGTTAGCATCACACACATACTATTCCACATCTTGGAAGTTTCAGCTTTTATTGCAAAAAAAGTGACACACAGTGCCCTTTGTGTTGGATGTCTTCATTCAGCCTAAGTGAACACAAGCCCAGAGAGCTCCATACCTCTTGTCTTCTATGACTTCCTTCATCTTCAGAGCTAATGTCTTTGCCTTAACCTTCTTTAACTGGATAGAGACACCAAACTTTTTGGCTTCTACTCGGACCAGGTTTTCAGTCTGTTCTCCAAGGACAGGAATCCCTACCATGGGTACACCATGTTGGATGGCCTCCATTATGCTATTCAATCCACCATGAGTGACAAAGAGACGGATCCGTGGGTGAGCTGTTGCAAATCAGGAACAGAGCAGGATATTTCAAGGTGAAAATTTTCAGAACATCTTTGAAAGTATCAAGGGCAGAAAAAAATACAAAGGGATCTTAAAGTATGTTGGAGAAAAAGAATTTGCTGAATTAGCTTAGGGCACACTCAAGGGCACATATTTCCCCAAATACAAAATTCTGGTCTTGTCTCCATACAGAGATTCCTCTAAATCAATCCATCTAAGACTCAGAACCCAGGGACAGCTGCTGAGAACAGTACTAAGCACAGCATTTTCTTCCATCCATCCATCCATCCCTCCATCCATCCTTATCTATCCACTCTGTCTCTCCCTTTGCTCCTCTTATGTCTGTTATCTCACTGTTACTTTCTCCCAGTGTCACTCTCTTTCTGTTTGTATGATTTACTATCTCTTTCTCTATCTCTCATTCTGTAGGCTTCATGCTCTCCCTTTCACTGCTTATTCATTTCCCTCTTATCTGAAGGCTAACACTTTTACTGACATCACATCTCATGTGGCATTCATCAAACTTACACTGTATGTCATTTCTACTCAATTTCACAAGAAATCCTCTAAAGTAGGCAATGATGGATCACCCATCTCAGTATTTCCAGTTCCTATGTGCTCATCCCACTCTTACTTAGAGAAAACTAAAACAAGTGCTAATAATGAAGAGTTCATCTCAAAACTGCCTCTCAATAGGGATGTGCATCAGAATCTATTTGTGTTTCTTTGAAAGTCAGAATCCTTTTCCCTATACCATGTCTTGTGAATAAATGTGCAGAACCCTCTATCTTAAGTTCCCAATATGTTTGTGAGCCATAATCTTGGGGATGAATGTCTGATATAGTCAGTGGTTGTGGCACTGAGGGACTCCAAAATGTTGCGCAAGGACAAAGGGGTGTGAGGAGCTCTCTTTTACCAGAGAATGTGATGGACAAAATAACCAGCTAAGGCTGAGAGCTTACTCAGCTTGACACTCAGATGTTTGGGCACACCCTTCAGACACTGTCAGCAGAACTTTGTGAAAGTATGAGTACACCTTTTGGGGCAAAGGAGAATGAACCAATATGTGTGAGGGTGTTTCTATAGTGGCATGGGGCCTAATAGATGCTCAAGAGTTAAGGGAAAACAGTGGCAACATGTCCCTTGGTATGTGATCGCAGAATCCATAAACTGTCTTTGACTAAGTTTGGGTAATCTTGTTGAGTGCCAAATATGGTATGGTCAAAAGAGCCTGATGACAATCACTTCTAGAAGCAGGTATCAGGACTGCAATAGAAAGAAAGAAGAAAACATGGCGGTTTTATCCATTTGGGAAACAGTCTGATTTCCCAAGAACTCCAGCTGGCTGCTCCATTCCTGTCCTCTAAAGATTACCTTTACCTACCAGCTGCCCTTTCTCATGCTTGTGGGGTTGTCCAGTGTAAACCTAAAGATAATAAATGGAAAGAGAGAAGTAGACCTGAACAGTCCTTACCCAAGAGGTCATTCTGAGGAAGCCAGTCCACAATTTTCACATTTGCTGCCAATTTGACGTCTTTGGGCCAATGAGAAGGATTACACTTCCATATCACCCCTTGAGACAGATGAGCAAAGGCACTGTTCATCTCCCTGAGAACTTCTTGGGACTGACAGATGCTCACCATGGAGCCCAGGGCCACAAGGACAAAACCAGAGTCTCCAAACTTGGCAATGAAATTCTCAAATTCCTGGAGAGAGGTAACAAAGGAAAGCAGGTGAACACAGTTGCTCATGAAAGCCTAGACAGCCTTGAAATGAAAGTCAGCTATTTACTGAATACACTCTCCTGTCAGTGGCCTAGAGCTCACTGTCTTGAAGAGGTTCTCAATAGCCCCTGGGACAGCTCAGTGCCCTCTGCACTGTGCTCATATCCATTGTGTCTGGTGGCCTTGAAGTAATTTCTCTGAGACCTCAGGACACATCCTACCATATAAACACTTTCAATAATCACAGATGAATGTGAAGACAGCTGTAGGTGTCCAGTCACTACCACAATAACCCACATTGCCTTTGAGGCACTCAAAGCACACTGTAGCACCAACATCTAAATCCAGGACTTGTGTGTGTAACAATGTTTTATAGAAGAGGAAAGCGGAGGTGGTGGGAATTTCTTTCTTCATTGAAAACATGGTCTCAGTACCAAGGTCATCCTCATCCCTCGTTCTAGGTGTGGGGAGATATGGTCATTTAGGAGGGTTCCAATGCCAGACCCAGAGGTGCTAGTGCCTGAGAGAGTGCCAGTTGCTGTCCTGGTCCAGTAGGAGGCAGCACGCCTTCTGGAGGCTGAGGTAGATGCTGGGGAAATGTCTCTGGTGGTGTGTCTTCTTCATATGCTTATTAGCCATCTGTAGGTCTTTGTTGAGGGATCTGGGAAGGTTTTTGCCCCATTTAATTTATTGGTTTTCTTATTGTTAAATTTTAAGAGTTCTCTGTATACTATGTATATTTGTGTGTATAAAGTGTTTGCCTATTTTGAATAACAGTCTTGAACAGATAGGATTGTTCCAAATATTTGCTCTTGTTCTGTGGCTCCTATTTTTATTGTCTTGACAGTGCCTGCCCAGAACGGAATTTTTTTTTTAAGATTTTTATCTATTTATTTGAGAGAGACAGAACACGAGCAGGGGGGAGGTGCAGAGGGAGAAGCATGCTCCAGCTAGCAGGGAACCCGATGCTGAGCTCCATCCCACGACCCTGAGATCATGACCTGAGCCAAAGGAAGATGTTTAACTGACTGAGCCACCCAGTCAGAAGAGAAATTTTCACAACAGAAATTTTCAATTTAGCACACTTATCAACTCCTTCTTTCATAGAACATGACTTAGGTTTTTCATTTAAAAAGTTTTCGTCATCATGAAACACTACATCAAAAACTAATGAGGTACTGTATGGGGACTAACATAACATAATAAAAAAAAAGAAAAAATATCAAAGGGACTCCCTAAGTACACCTCCTCCTTCTGCCAATAGTGAAGGTGAAATAAATGCTTTTTTAGATAAATAGAACTGAATTCGTCTCCAATGTAAAAAAATAACTAAAAAAATAAGTAAAAGTTTTCATCAAACCATAGTTCATCCAGATTTTCTCTGATATCATATCAGAGAAAATTTTTATACTTTTGCATTTTATATTTAAGCTTGTGGTCCATTTTGAGCTAATTTTCTTGAAGGGTGAAGGGTATGAGTCTAATTTATTCTCTGTGTGTGCACATACCCATTTTTCCAGCACCACTTTTTTGAAAGTCTATGTTTTCTCTGTACTATTGTCTTTACTCCTATGTGAAACAGCAGTTCACGAAATCTGTGTGCATCTCTTTTGGGGTTCTCTATTGTGTTACATTTACCATTTACCTAATCTTTTGCCAATATCATAATGTCTTGATTACTGTAGCTTTATAGTAAGTCATGAAGTTGAAAATGTCAGTCCTCCAACTTTGTTCTTCATTTTCAATATTGTGTTTGTTCTTCAGGATTTTTGCTTCTCCATGCAAATTTTAGGATCAGTTCATTAATATCTGCAAAATAATTTGCTGAGATTTTGATTGTGCTTGCATTGAAGGTATAGATCAATTTGGAGAGAACAAATTCTTGACACTATTGACTCTTCCTATCCATGAACATGGACTTTCTCTCCACTTATTTAGTTCTTTGATTTCCTTCATTAAAGTTTTGTAGTTTTCCTCATATAAATCTTTACATATTTTGTGGATTTATTCCCAAGATCACATTTTTGGTGGCGCTAATGTAAATGGTTTTTACATGTGCTTTTAACTTCACATTCCCCCATGCATTGCTAATATATAAGAAAAGTATTGATTTTATACATTAAACTTGTATCCTGTGACATTGCAATGATTGCTTTCTATTCCAGGAATTTTTATTTTTTATTTTTTGGCTCTTTCAGATTTTCAGAATGGACCATCATGTCATCTGCAAACAAAATAGTTTTATTGCTTTCTTCCTAATCTATATGCCTTTTATTCTGTTTTTTTTTTTTTTGTCTCATTACTTTTGTTAGGACATCCAGTATGAGGCTAAAAGGTGGCAGTGAGGGGACATACTTGCCTTGCATCTGATAGGTTGTCCTCTCATTTTCTATATAATGTCCTTTGATATAGAGGTTTTTAATCCTAATGAAGTCCAATTTGTCTATTTTTTCCTTTGTTACTCATCTTCTCAATGTCATATCTACAAATTCATTGCCAAATAAGTCCATGCAGATTTATCCCTTTCTTTTCTTCTAAATATTTTATGGCTTTTAACTCTTTAATTATGTCATTGATGTATTTTGAGTTAATTTTGGTACCTGGTATGAGGAAGGCTCAAAATACGTTCTCTTTCATGTGAAAATCCAGTGGGATCAGCACCATTTGCTGAAGAGACTATTCTTTCCTTCATTGAATGGTTTTGGCACCCTTGTCAAAAATGAATTGGTCACAGATGTATGAGTCATCCAACTGTGTTCTTTTTCATATTGTTTTGGTTATTGAGGGTCTCTTACATTTCCATATGAATTTTTCGTTTCTATAAAAGGAAGAGGTCATTGAACTGTTGATAAGGATTAGATCAATTCTGTAGATCACTTTGAGTAGTAGTGCTCTCTTAACAAGATCTTTCTATTTATTTAGGTCTTCCTGAATTTCTTTCAGCAAATTTGTAGTGTCCAGTGTACATGTCTTTCAACTCCTCAGTTTAATTGGATCCTGTTGTAAATAGTTTTCTTAATTTCATTTACAAATTGTTCGTGGTTGCTGTATGAAAACACAAATCATATTTGCATATTGATATTTTCCCCTGCAACTTTGCTGGGTTTGTTTATTAAAACTAATAGTTTCTTTTTGGTGTATGAATTTTTTGGTATTTTCTACATAGAGATTTATGTCATATGTAAATCAAACTATTTCTACATTGTCCATTCCAATTTGAATGTCTTTTCTTTCTTTTTCTTGCCTACTTGCTCTAATAAGGGCATATTTGAATAGCAGTGATATAAGTGGGCATCTTAGACTATTGATCTTAAGCAGCACAATTGCAGTCTATCATAATGAGTATGATCTTAGCTGGGAGTGTTCCATATACTCTTTATCATGTTCAAGAAACACCTTTGTACTCCTAGTTTTGTGAGCATTTTTGTCATGAATGTGTGTTAGTTTTGTCAAATAACTTTTCTGCATTTCTTGACAAGATGCGTTTTTTTCTCCCATTCATTCTAATAATGTATTACATTGATTTTATGTTAAACCATTTATAAAATATCTTTTCTCTCCTGCAGAAGTTATGACATAAGGCTATTTTGTGTGGTATTAATTAGTATATAGCCACCCATAGATGATTCTTAAGAACTCTCTGATTTAATACCCTAAAAGCGAGCATTAATATATTTTTGTCAATTCTTCAAAAACATTAATTTCTTCTTCTTCTTCTGCATTGTTTGGTTGTCCCTAGCTCAAAGCCTTTATTCTATTATTCAATCTGGCTCTATTTGACTCCATCCAACACCACACCATAAGACCTACCATCCCAGGAGACCACTTAATATCAGCTTTGCTGTCTTTTGATAATTATAAGATCAATGTAAATCTATTTTTTAAAATTTAAAATAGTAGAGTGTGACATCAAAATAAGAGGCTCCATGCTCTCATTCCCTAAAAGAAACATTAAAAAAGAAAGAAAGAGAAAAGAACTAAAGACAGACTGCACCCCAGGCAAATGTGTAACCAGTCTCACCAAGGCAAGCAAATAATCATGAAAACACCTTCTCACCAGAATCCCTACCCCCAGCATGTGGATATCCACATGAACAAATATAAAGTTCGATCCTCAACTTATACCATGCAAAAACTCAACTCAAAATCAATTAAAGATTTAAGCATAAGACCTAAAACTACAAAACTCTTCGAAGAAAATAAGGGGAGAAAATTTCATGATATTGGCCTTGGCAATGATTTCAATGATATTGCACAATGCACAAGAAAATGAAATATCTAACTCAAAACTAACAAACATTGAAACAAACAATAATAACAAAGAAACCAATTGAGACTACATTAAACTAAAAAGCTTCTGAAAAGCTTCTGCACAGCAAAAGAAACAATCAACAGAGTAACAGACAACCTACAGAATGGAAAATATCTGCAAACTGTATTCCTGATAAGAGATTAATCTCCAAAATCTCTGCTATTGAGCTGTAGGAAAGACCTACAGCTCAATAGCAGAAAGAAGAAAGAAAGAAAGAAAGAAAGAAAGAAAGAAAGAAAGAAAGAAAGAAAGAAAGAAAGAAAGAAAGAAAGAAAAAAAGAAAAAAAGAAAGAAGAAAGAGAAGAAAGAAAGATCTTATAACCCCATTAAAAATAGGCTAAGGACTGGAATAGACAGTCATCCAAAGACAACATGCAAATGGCAAACAAATATATGAAAAAATGCTCAGCAACACTAGTCATCAGGGAAATGCAAATCAATTCCACAATGAGATGTCAATTCATATCTATTAGTATGGTTATTACTAAAAAACAAAAGACAACTGTTGAGGATATGTAGAAAGAGCAACTCTTAACGACTATCACTGGGAATAAAAAATGGTGAAGGCATTATGGAAAACAGTATGGAAATTCCCCCCCCAAAATTAAAAATAGAACCACCATATGATGGAGCAATCTGATTTCTCTTTCTGTACCCAGGTGAATGGAAATCAGGATCTCAAAGAGATATCTGAATTCCCATATTTATTGACGCACTATTCACAATACCCAAGATGTGGTAATAACCAAAATATCCATCCAAAAGATGAATGGTTAAATTGTATATAAAATATATATGTATAATGGAATACTTTAAAAAGAAGGAAATTTTGCAATATGGGAAAACATGGATGAAACTTGAAGACATTATGCTAAGTGACATAAACCAGAAAGGCAAATACTGCATGAATTAATTTATCTGAAACATCTAAAATAGTCAAATTCTTAGCATCAAAAGTGGAAGTTGGTTTCCAAGGTTGGGAGAGGGGAAGCAATGAGGGGAAAAGGTAGCTATTATTCCATGGAGGAAGAGTTACAGGTAAATGAGATAAATAAGATCTCGAGATCTGAGGCACAACATGGTACCTAAGTCAGTAATTATATATTGTACTATTAAAAATTTGATAAGGAGCTAAGTCTAATATTAAGTGTTTTTTACCACATAAAATAAGTTAAAATATAATACAGTAAAGTCGATTAGAAAATTAAAAATAAATAATAAAAATGTATATTCTCATTTTTTTGCCTGTCTCACCATATTTCACTCCCTGTTCCCTTAGGCAAGGGAACCACCAATTCTGCACTGAAGAGCTCTGCATGAAGTCCATATTGAGACCTAAGGTTTTACTTACTTGTGGCACTTGTTTAACAGCTCTGGCCATTAAGCCTCCAACATACACAGTGTTGGGAAGCAGGGGCCGAGCAAATTCAAGGGCAAAGTCAGAGTTAACAAACCACAGCTCTGCTTTCTTTAGGAGATGAGACAAAACTGGCCTAGAGCCTTCTGGGAAATGTTCCTTGATGGTGTTGTCAAACGTAGACTGGATTTGCCATTGCTTTATGGAGAAATCAAAGAGCATCAGAAAATTCTTCACTCTGCCCCAGAAGTCCATGTGGTCGGTTAGCCAGGAACGGTATACTGGAATATAAGACACGGGAATTGGTAGCCCATGGTCCACACTGCCAAACTGGGTGGGCAGAATCGACACAAATGGCTTCCCAAGCTTCTCAGCAACCAGGAAAGAACAGAAGTCAAATGCTTCAACAAATACCAGGTCAAAGTTCTCATTTTTTAAGAAATCCATGATATCACTTCTCCTTAGCAAATCACTGCATCGAATCCCCAGTTGTCTCATTAACTTTACAAAGTTGTCAAATGCTCCTCTGTTTAAAACAAAAGTAATGACAAATATTCATTGAAGGTGTTAATTTCACAATACTTAGGAGAATCTTTGGCTCAAAGAAAATAGCCCAGGTAAGTAAGACCATATCTGGCAGCAGCCCACCTATTTTACCAGTGTTCAAGGAATACTCTGCTCTGGGTGTTCCTGCTTCTTAAAATGTTCTCACTTCCTCCCCTCCCCTTTCTCTGACCAATCCATATGCCTGCACTAGCAAAGCTAATTTAGGTCCTTCTGCATTGAAAACATTCTCTGTCACTAGTAGATCTCAAAGTCCCATGTCTAGTTGATACATTCTGTGATGTTCTGTTTAACTTTCATTTGTATACTGACCTTTTCTGAGTGACTGTCCTGTTTCCTAACCAAACTGTGAAAGTAACTTCAAAGCATCAATATTCATGATGCAGCCCTTTTATTTGAAACTGGGTATATCCTAAATTTGACAGATTGCCTCACACAACGAACTTTCTGATGGTAATATTAGAATCCAACTTCTAAGCTGAACAGGAGATTTACATCTTCCTACCTGAAAAGATTAACATTTAAAACAAACAAAAATAAAAGCCTATTTGAAGCTAACTACTACCTTTCCACATCATTCCAGATGGAGTATTCATGCTTATTCCAAAAGTTCATGCTAAAATTTTACCAATATCTATTAAGACTCTTGCCTATGGCACTATTCCAGGAACTATTCTCTCAATGATTTCCCATCAATGCCTGCAAGAAAAATGATCTTTTTCATACAGCACATGGGCAACAGATGAGAATATTCCTAATCAGAGATTACAGGTCAGATGCTTTGGAGACCCATGGGCCTCCTACTTGAATGAAGGACTGAGAGAATCAATGACCTGGCAAACCTATAACCTGTACAACATTCCACCTTATCAGCCCACTGAAAGAAGAACCACAGGTGAGAGCTCATTAGCAATATGAAGATGCCTACACATGCTACAGAATCAACTACAAGTGAAAACAGATAATTAACTAAAATTATCCTCTATAATATTTTAAAAGATTTTCATAAAGAATGATTGCTAAATATTATTGACAAATTCAGGATATGAAGTACAAATTCCTCTAAAGTAGAGCATGAATCATATTGAAATTAAGATAATAAATTGAAAAAATACAGGAAAGCACTTTGTTCAGTATATTGCACCATATTTAACATGTGTGTGAAACCAGTCTTCAAGGGGCACCTTGGGGACTCAGTTGGTTAAGCAACTGACTCCTGATCTCAGCTCAAATCTTGATCTCAGGGTTGGGAGTTCAAGACCCTTGTTGGGGTCCATGCTGGGCATGCAGCCTACTTAAAAACAAAAACTGAACAAACAAACAAACAAAAAAACAGTCTTTGACACAATAAATCTGAGGGAGAAGAGATGAGACATATAATTCAAACATATATGAGTAACAATACAAGATAAAATAGACGTTTCAAGTGAGTACTTTTAGATCAGATCTCTTATAGAGGGGAGAATTTGGTCTTCTAGTTTGACTAAGGAATTGGGCTTTAGGAAAAAAGCCAGATTTTAGGACCACCTAGTAGCAAATAGAATTTCTTTATTTTTTTAAGATTTTATTTATTTATTTGAGAGAGAGAGCGCGCGCACAAGTGGGGGAAGAGGCAGAGACACAGCAGACTGCCCGCTGAGCATGGAGCTCAACAGGGGCTTGGTGGTAGGCTCAATCCCAGGACCCTGAGATCATTACCTGAGCCAAAGTCAGATGCTTACCCAACTGAGCCAACCAGGCACCCTGCTAATAGAATTTCTAGGGAAAGAAGGGGGATGGACATTAGGCCTGTGTATTAACCAAACAAGGGATAAATTTGGGTCTTTACCTTCTAATGTCAAAGATGAAGAACTTTCTATACATCTCAGATAATGACAAAATCCCTCAGGTTACTCACTGATTGTATATCACCAAGATATTTGGTTTTTTTAAATGAGTTTAAAAGACAGTGGTTCAAGGCATTAAATAACAATATTCATAAGCATCTTTCTATTCTTGAATTTATGTGAGGAAAAGGTAGGAAAAAGAAGTATAACCTGGTGGTTCATTGCGTACCAACAATGAGAAATTAAGTTGTCTATCCCAATTTCTGTGTTATGGAGAATATATAGGCAAACACTGTAGATGGAATGTTGCAAGGAAGATCCAGAGGAACAGTCCCTCTCACTATACAGAAATACATTCATGCTTTCAGTGGAAGAGCCACAGGATACACAGACTAAATGATTGGTAGTGCAAAACTCTACTCCATCCATCCACTGCCAATATCATTGATCTCCCCATCCATCCACTCATCCATCCATCCATCCATTTGTCTTAAACTCACACCAAGCATGCAACTATTCATCCCTATCACTAAAGTGGTAAGTCTTTCATTCAGAGAATAAAAGAAATTACCTGCCATGCAAAGCTTCTGTCACAAAGAAATCAAAAGTGTTATTAAAATCTTTTCTATGATCTTCAGGTGGAAGCCAACTGATAACTTTGTATGAAATTTCATTCTTTTCTAAAAATAAAAATAAAAAATAAAACACCAGTAAGGAAATGTTTAATTATACCATACAACCCAAATTAACATTGGCATGATGATATCATGGTTTCTTTATTCCAAGGATTGTATATATATTCAAATGTTTGCTTTTTGAACTTTGGTTTGGTTTGGTTTTTCTGCTTTCTCATTTCTTCAGTCAGGCAACCTGCTGAACTTTACTGAGAACCATATAATGATATAGTCACTTTTATTCATTTTAAAGCACTGGGGGTTTCTACTTAAAATTTACACTTACAGGTATAATTATTCACTATTTTATAGGTGAGAAAGGAGTGCCAGATAATTTGTCAAGAGTGCACATATAGCGAATGATATACTTTGTATTTAAATACAGCTCTTAGTTTATGCCAGCTCCCCAGTCATTTCTCATTTAGAAAAAGAAATCATTTTCATTAAAATTAAAAGTGATACATGCAAAGGTTTTTCATTCTGCCAAAAATATGCCAAAAGCTAAGTTAAAAATAGTGTCCTCTGTAGCCCTACTTCACATCCTGGCATTTCCCCAATAACTCATGTGTAATAGAGTCTGACACCATTTTTGAGGTTGGACTGATGACAGCTTAGCAAGCTCCATCTCCCCCTTAACCTTCTGTGACATATCTTGGCAAACAGAGAAGAAAGCCTCAACATGCCATCCTTTTTGTGAGCAAGAGTTTCAAGCCAAGCAAGTCAGACCCAAGTAGGGGAATCCTCACCTCCACCCTACTCAGAAGCTTCCATAATTGGCATTTAGAGACAAAAGTGTGGGTTTAGCCTTTCAGTGGCCCTGGTCACGTGTCTCACACAAACCTATTTTCTGTGTCAGCCTGGGTTGTGCCTCTGGATCCCAGCATGAGCCGTGATTGACACTAAGCTAGGTAGAACCCTGTGACCAATGGTTGTGTGTCTCAAGGACTGCCCCCATTATAAACAGTGCTCTGGGTAAGACTGATACCAGTTTACAAGCCCACAGAATGGTGGAAGAAGAGTAGTCACTGTGTCATATGATGAGATTCACACCTGTAAAAGTAGAAGGCGCATGCAACCCTAGAAAATGCCTTTGCTGCTGCTGCTGATTATATCCCTGTAGCTAAAAGAAAACCTTGCTTAAAAGAGGAATAGGGAAAAACACTGATGACATGCCCATGGAGTTCAAGGGGTTCATTCAAACTCAGGTTAATTTCATGTCTCTCAAAATCACCACTAGGGAGGCCCCTAGACTTGATGATACTAATTGGGACATTCTGAAGAAGAAACTTAAAAATATGAGCAGGTTAAAATGGACACCATCCCCAAAATACCTCTAATAATAACCCAAAGAAAGGAAAGAGAAGGGCAAGGCAGGGTGGGAGAGTCAGGAAAGAAATTAACACAGAGTTCTCAGTTTTGATACATGTGGAATGTAACATTACTTTAAAGAAAAACTTTGTAACAGAAGAAAGGCACAGGTTGGTTTTTGTGCCTTTAAATCAGAGCTTCTAAATACTTTTAACATCAGATGAGATGAGCCACTGACAAAGATTAATGGTCTTAATCAATACTGGGGCAAAAATAACAGGATGAGAAGAGCCCACTAAATATATCCAGAAAATTTCGGTACCCTTAGGAGTCAAAAATGTTACATAGAGGACAAATTTACATGCCCTATCTTAACTACTGAAATAGATATCCCATAGTCATAACAGCCATTTTTTTTACATTATTTCCTAGAGGCTATGATTGCTCTTGATATGTAACAAGTCAAAAATTAAAATAAAATTAAAGTTTTGGCATTTACAATCAGCTTGACAGAAAGGGACGCTTTGAATCTGCCCAACATATTAAAACTGTTAATACAACCCATAAACAGTGCCTTTAAGGATTAAATCCCATTTTAAACAATCTATTAAGCAAAGGAGTGATTATCTCCACTGGCTTTCCACTTAACGGCCTAGGTTAGACTATTCTTAAACCAGGAAAGAAGTAATGATGCCTTGCAGTGGATTACTATAATGTTATTGTGCCATGACACATCATATTAAGCACCCCCCCATTTCCAATGTTACTGAAATTGCTGACTATATCTAAGTACTAATAGATACTTTACATGCATAGATTTGGTAATATGTTCTGTTCAATTCTTATTTCAACAAGCTCTCAGCTGCAGTTTCTCTTCACCTTTGTCTTGGCAGGATACAAATCACTTGTAACTGGCTTCTCATGGACTACCTCAGCAGCCTTGCTCACAAGCTTTGCCGGCAAGACCTTAACCACCTTCAACTTTCTCCAGAAGCACACATATGACACTGCATTGAGGACAACCTTCTTTTGCAGACATTCATTGAGCACATTCATTCAGGACACAAACATTCACACAGGAGCTCACAAGAGGGATGTGTTGCTGCCCTACACAAAGCACAAGCCATGGCACCTCAGTTGAATTCCTGGGAAGAATTATTTGTTGGTTGAAGGTCTTTCCATCCCTGACACCATCAAGAAACAACTATTGGGGTTCCACTTCCAGCATGAGAGTATAAGGAGCTTTCCTGGACACACATTCAAACAGAAACTGGTGAAAGTTTTCTTTTATATACACACACACATATTTAACTACATATATATATATTCTGAAAGCAAAAGATAAGTCAAAAGGTAGTAGTGAAGATTCTGAGAAGATGGTAGAGCACCAGGAATCTGTCTCCCCACCTAGATAACAATTGACTGGCAGAATCTGTCTAAAACATCTATTTTGGAACCTTGCAGTCAACTTCCAGGGAAGGCCTTAAGTGTAAAGTGCAGATAAGTTTAGTTAATTTCAGTTATTTCAGCTCTATCACAGTACCAGCTACCCATCTTCCGCATACATTTCATGGCAGGCAGCTGAACATGTGTTTGTAGAGCAGCTTGCCCATAGGTTTCAGGAGCCAGAATGGGTTAAAAAGGACCTCCAAATCTCAGATATCTGTGCTCTGACTGTGGATTGCTGCTTCTGATCACAGGGATGCAGACAAAGAGTAGGCAGCAATGTTTTTGCATCATGCTCTTTTTTTTTTTTAAGCACATTCTGTTCTGGCTGAATGGACTTCCAAGGGTCTTAAAAGACTGATGTCCTTTTTTTCTCCCTGATTTTTCTGTTTTTCCTATTATGGGAGACAAACATTAAGGGCTAGGACATTGGACAAAAACTACATATATGATGAATTTAGAAAGTGTCCACTCATGTCCAGGAAAAGGTTCAGAAAAGACCTAAGAGACCAAAATTTACACCTCACATTGATCCTCACCCAAAGGCAGCTTAAAACAATCACAAAATAAAAACAAGAAACAAAATTAATTTTAAAAGATCTGCAAACCCTGGAGAAAGGAGGAGAGTCTCATCTCTAGATTTAACACATTGTTAAATTCAAATGGTTAGTGTTCAACAAAAAACTCAAGGCATTGGGCGCCTGGGTGGCTCAGTCGTTAAGCGTCTGCCTTCGGCTCAGGTCATGATCCCAGGGTCCTGGGATCGAGTCCCACATCGGGCTCCCT